TGCCCTCTTCCTTTCTCCTTGACTTTAACATCAACACATCTTCTGCCTGTGGCCTTTCTTGATCTGCCAGATCTTTCTTTTAGCTCAGTTATCCCAGGCCTCCTTCATCCCACACATTTCCCTTTCTAACCCTAGAATCTTCTTTAACCTTCTCTACGAGGTCTGTGTCTTCACCTTGGGGGGGGGAGGTCCCTTAAAGTGTCGAATCACAATGTCAAATGCCTTTTCTAAAAAGAACCCACCTGGTTTCCACCTGGCAAGGAGCCATCTCTATGGGGCAAGAGGGCTATTCTCCTTGCTAGAGCCCCTCACCCACTCTGACCCTGGGTCCTGGTTATCAGTGACTCAGGACCCTCCTTGTCTAATCCATCCCATGCAGAGTGGAAATTGAATGCTTTCTTTATTCTTCAATTAGCTTTTCTAGATTATGCTTGCCACRTGTTAATTTTTCAGGAAAAAAGAAGTTGTAAAAATTAAATTTGGGCTTGTGATCATTAATGGGAAAAGACTTAAATATTCATCTCCAAGACATATAATGATCACCCTCTTAGAGACCATTTGAAAGGTCTCAGCAACACTGGTTATGTTTTCCCTGGAGGGTTTGCTCCARGTAGCTGGGAGCTACCTGGCCGCCTTGGTCGCTCTGCTGTCCCTCATGCCAGGCTGTTGCATTAGGAGCTGCCTGCCCAGGCCCAGGGCCCGAGGTTGCTCTGACTCCTGCAGAAATGTTACCACCTCCCAGCTACTATGTTCCCAGTCCAGTGGGGAGGAAAGCATCAGCCAGGTGTGAAAGAAGGTTCTGAGCTTTTGGTGGTGTGGGGGGGGGGGGGTAGTTTGTGGCTGTTCCCAGTGGAGTACGTCTCTGAGTTCAGCCATCCTCAGCTTCTGAAATTGAGGAGAGACCTTGTGTTTTATGTGTGCTCACAAGTACAAGTTTAGATGAATCTCTAGCTCTAGGGAAAAGAGACCCTGTAAGCATCCTAGAATCTTATGTACAAAGAAAACAACATTTTGCTTTAAGAGATTTCAAAATCACCTGCATATAGCAAAACAGGAATGACTCAGCAGCCTCACTTTAAGAAGACACATAGATTCAATGGATCAGATTTTCAAGAGGGGGAAAGAAATTCCAGCCATAACTGGAAAATACAGGCCTCTTTTCAAGTTCCAAACACAGCTTTGGAAGAGCACAGACAAAGGTCTCATTGTCTGCAAGGCCCCTGCTGCTTCAAGGGGTCCCCAGACCGTCCTCTTTTGATTCAGAGGTGGAGCAGACCCTTTTTGTCACACAACTGCCATCTCGGCTGCCCCCATACTGCCAGGTCAGGCCTCACAGTCACACTGAGTTCTGTGGGGAAACCCCTGAAGAACACTCTTTCTGATGCAAGCAGTGAGTGACATTCCCTGGCTCCCCTCAGACGGACTATTCATGGGGGCTGCCTGATGGTCACCCGGTGAGCTGRGAGGGCACACTGGAATGGTGGGGAGAGGCTGGAACCCTGTCGTCTTTCTTTCCTGGGAACTGCTTTTCTGAAGCAACTGAATGAGACCTTTACAGGCCAGGGTAGTGGCCTCTCCTTCAGAATGCCTGGCCCACTTCCCAGTGTGAAACATTCCCCAAATATGCAACTCTGTGAGCCTCCCAGCCGCCTGACAGCCGCCTGCTGTGGGAGAGCTGGTACCCAGGGGATGCGGGGGTGGGGGCGCCTGCAGGACCCTCTACCCAGCTGTGGCTTTGCTAGATTGGCCCAGGAGGCTCGGCGGCCCCCTGTCCTGGAGGAGAATCTGGCCCACAGTCCAGCCGTGACAAGAGCACACAACTTCCCTCTCTCCTTTTAAGTCCCCTCCTTCGTCCTAATAAATCCTATAAAAAGGCTTTTGTTGAAGGAGCAGCCATTGCATCTTGGTGCATGGACATCGCTGGTGTCATTCCATCCTCCGGGTGTTTTCCAAAGATGGATGAAAAGAACATCGGTAGCTGAATTCCTGGGTGAACAGGTCTGGAAATTGGCTTGGGAGGAGTGGAGGTAGACGGCAGCTGTCACATGCATTTGTTTTGTTTGCAATTGATGAAGCCAAGGAGGAGGGGAACTGCCGGAGGATGGTAAGAAGCCCCTTCAGGGAGCACCTGGCAGCAGGTGGCCTCTGGGACCCGGCTAGGATATGCAGTGCGGGCAGGGGCATGGCTGTGCCGGCTTCAGTGAGCTGGGTTGGGGGCAGAGTGTAGGATCACTTAGGAAAGAAAGGGGCTCTGAGACCACTACTGACTCTTGGGGTGGGCGCTCCTTCTACAAACTTACTCATCTACTTTTATGAATTCCTGCAGAATATAGTCAGGGACAATGGTCAGACCCCAGCATGGGTCTGCCTGATACTTTGGGTACTCAGGTCAAACTTATGAAAAGGGAGATGACTGTTTGCTTCTCTTTGGTCTCACACTGTAGCTTAATTTTGACCCAATTTCCTGCCTTCAAAGATCCTGAAATCTTTGTTCAAGGAGGCACTCAGAGGCCACTCGATAGAGGATGGATTTGTGTGTATTGCTGATTTTTGTTTTATCATTTCCTTATTATTTAATTTGCTTTTCTTTGGCTTGAGCTTTAAATGCACATATTTGTCAAAAACAAAAACAACGAAAAAGCCAAAAGCAATTTCCAATGAATTACAGAATTCAGCATTCATAAATAAAGGAAATTTCTTTTCTCTCTTTTTTTTTTTTTTCTTAAAGAACTGTTTAGCGTTGTCCTGATGTGAAGTTTTTTTCATTTTTAGATGTTTGGAGTAAGGCACTGCTCTTAATTTTACTTACCTTTATGTAGGTAGTTCTTTGTTTTGTTTATTGATTCTTCTCTGAAAGCTTTGAGGCTTCTTCTTTAAGCCCATCTCTGATTTTATTCATGTATTCATCCTTTCCACGGTGAATCGGTATTCCGTTGTCTGTGCATACGGATTTTATTTGGCCTTTTCTGGGTGCCTTCCTTCTCAGCTTGACCACTCACTCACTGGTTGGGTGAGGTGGGTACTTAATTTTCTTCTTCAGACTCATCACCTTCAACAGTAACAGGAATTATCATGATACCTCAGTCATAAGCGAAGTTGTATATATGAAGTCTTAGAACAGTGCTGGACACCATTGTGGCTGAGTTGGGGCTGCTTCTATGTCCGAGGTGGGGCTTACTGGTAAATAATAGCTGTTAAGGAAAGCATGATGTTAGAGGAGAATGAGCTTGAAAATGGCCATGTTGAGAATGTCAACATGTTGTCCAGAATCTGTAGGGCTCCTGGTCCTTGAGGGGAAAAGGGGAAAATCCTCAGCCCTGTGCCTAGGCTGGTTGCTTTGTTTCTAAACACTTCACTGAGATGTGATTTGCATAACCTACCATTCACCCACGTAAGTAAACTACTCGATGCTGGTTGGTATATTAATTATTTTTAAAGTTACAATAAGATATAAATAAAACAAAATCTGTCATTTTAACAATTTTATATGAATAATTCAGTGGTGTTAATTATATTCACAAAGTTGACTAACAACTATCACCTCTATTTTCAAAACATTTCCATCACCCCAAGCAGAAACCGGACCCACAATCCCTCATGCTCCCTCCCCTGATAACCTCTCATCTACTCTCTGTGAATTTGCCACTTCCAGCTCTTTTATTGGAGCAGAATCATATATTKGTCCCTTATGTCTGGCTTATTTCTTTGAGCATAATGTTTTCTGGGGTCGTCCATGTTGTAGCTTTATCAGTACTTCCTCCTTTCCACGGTGAGTGGGTATTCTGTTGTCTGTGYGTACGGATTTTATCTGGGTTGTCTCACCTTTTGACTGCTGTCAAYATTGCTGTAATTAGCATTGATGTATAAGCACCCATTTCAGTCCCTGCTCTCCGTTCCACTAGGAAGGGAATGGCTGGGTTGTTGATAATTCTGTTTGAGCTTTTTGAAGAACATTAACTTAAGCTATTTGTCTGGAAAACAGTTGCCCCTGGTCATTTTCCCCTCTCTATTTCTCTCGGTTGGTGTCCTCCTCGCTCAGATTCCAATCTGCTTCCTCCTGTCRCCCAAGCTTCCTTGTGCTTCCCAGCAGCCGATGCATTCTTGTCTACCCTCCAACCACGTGTCYCCCCCCCCCCCCCGACTTTCCGAGGGATGCCCCTCTTCTCTGTCAGCTGGCAGAGCACACACAGCCGGCTCTGGCTGTACACCCCCTGATGGCTTTCATCTGGCTGGCAAGGGAGGGGGTGTCGAGGCCTCCAAAAACCTCCGTCCACCCTGGCTGGAGGGCTGTTCAGCCGCAGGATGACCCTGTGAGATGGGGGAAGGCTGGGATGTGGAGCAGGGCTTCAGTCCTCCCACACACCTTGATTCTCCRTCAACCTTGCTTGTCTTTAGGGGGCCGTTTGGCCACCCTGTCCAGAAGGAAGGTTGTTCTTCCCTTTTCATTGGCCCACAGTTTCCCCACTTTTCTATGAGCAAGTGAATTAATTAAGGAATCCCCCAACAGACTGCGAGCCTGCCTCAGACAGCCATTCTGGTTGTTGGGCTAATTGTTAGTCCGGGTTTCTGGATGTCATTCATTTCACAATGAGGCTCCTAATTAATCTCAGCGCAGTTCTCACCAGAAGAAAGGCTGATAGGGAGAAACATCCCCGATTACCATGAGAAAAGAAATGTCAAGAGCYCCAGTTGAGTTTTCCTGGCATCCACGCCTTGTCTCAGAAGAAAACCGCCATTAGGGCACTGAGGCTGCCTGGCGATCTACCATGAAAACTAGAGAGTGAGGGGTCACTGATCTGCAGGCCACACGGACCCAGCGCCGGGTGGAGCCTGCTGCCTGCACCCTCTTCATCGGGAGCCCGGATTGTGTTTCCCCAGAGAGTGCAGAGAACCCCGGTGCCCCTTGCCACCTTGGAGGCAGAAATTCCTCCCTGAAGCTTTTCATCCGGAAAAACTAAAGATCTGCTCTTTGTGTGTTTGTGTGTTTCTCGTGCCTGCAGGACAAAAGATCCTTCATCACCGAAGTGACGTTCTAGAAACAGTAGTCCTGATCAACCCTTCAGATGAAGCCGTCAGCACTGAGGTAAGCATTCGAACCCGCAGGGGCTTGGGCACGGTCCCCCACACTGACTCCAGGAGCTGGACAGGAGGGGGCCAGCCAGGGTCATGAGAGGAGGAGAAATCCTGGGTGCAGGGGTTTTCCTTAACCTGCACTCAGTGGCTGGTTCTCTGCATCAGCACCACCTCAGACAGCGCCTCCCAGTAAGGACATACTGAGGCTGTCATACTTTGTGTGTGTGTGTGTGGGGGGGGGAGACAGTGTAGAATGGGGGCATCCGTGGGGTGCGTGCTGGAGGGGTAGAGTCTAGCAGGAATATAGCAGAGGATATCGATTGCAAGCCCTCCGGCTGGGGTGTACAGGAACCTRACTTGGAGAAGAATGGCACCTTAGATGCAAGCCCATTGCAAGCTCTCCTGCACAACCCTTATCCCTGCTGAAAGGCAGGCCAGCATAGTGGTCAGGAGCATGGACACCACCTGGGTTCCCACTCGCAGGTCTGCCACTTACTAGCTGGTGGCCTTGGGTGGGTTATTTACTGTCTTTGTCTCAGTTTGCCCTCTGTGAAAAGGAGATCGTAACAGTCCCTACATGGAATGTGTGTACATAATGTGGTACTTGGAAGTACTTTGGACAGAGTGTGGCATKTGATGACGAAAGCGTGTTGGCTACTATTGTTCCCAACATATGAAAGCATGGTTAGAGTAACTGGGGATTTCAGAGCCCACTGTGACAGAGAACTAGGCTGAAGCCCACAGTCCGTGGTCACCCAGGCTCAGGAACTGATATAACTCCATTTCCAACTTCCTTTATCAGAGTTTAGCACTTTGGAAACTGAGTTGTTTCCTGGATTTTAAAGCTGTTAAAGATRGCTTTAAGATGGAAAGCATCCATTATTTGCAGTGTCTTCTGCCCATGCTTTGAGCATCTATGATTATACTCTATTTTTTTAATGAGAAATAATTCATATGCATAAAAGCTATTCTTTTATTAAAGTATGCAATTCAGTGATTTTTGGCCTATTACAAAGTTGTACAATCATCACCACTRATTCCAGAGCATGTCCATCATTTCCCAAACCCATTAGCAGTCCACTCCCCATTCTCCCTTGCTCTGGCAACCCATAACCTATTTTATGTCTATAGATTTGCCTGTTTTAGACATTTCACATAACTTGTGCCCTTTTTATCTGGCTTATTTTACTTAGCATGATCGTTTCAAAGTTCAGCCATGTTGTCACATATATCAGCTCTGCATTCCTTTTGATGGCTCTATAAYATTCCATTATGTGGATATAGYACATTTGTTTATTCATTCTTCAGTTGCTAGATATCTGAGTTGCTTCCACTTTTTCACCCTTATAGTGTAGCMTATTCTGACTCTCTTCTCCCTGCTTCAGATGAACAAAACCTCTTTGACAATCCATTAAGGTGAAAAGTTGAGGAAAGTGAGGGAATAGCAATCTCTCTGTGACTAATAGAATYRGGGAGTAATTATAACCTGAAAAGAYGGGAGGATTAATCTGTGTCCAGGCAGACTGCCTAGAACAGCTATGAGGAATGGTCAAGGAAAAATAAGGATTTTTTTTAACGA